TGTGGTGGGCGGTGAGGATGCGGGGAAAAATCAGTTTCCCCACCAGGTGTCCCTGAGGAACGGTGGCTCCCACACCTGTGGAGGTTCGATTCTGTCCAGGAACTACATCTTAACCGCCTCCCATTGTGTGTCCAACGAGGACGCGAATCATGTGATTACGCCGATTGCGGCCGAGCGTTTCACCATTCGAGCGGGCTCCAACGACCGATTCAGCGGTGGAGTAATTATCCAAGTGGCCGAGGTGATTGTCCACGAGGAGTACGGCAAGTTACTAAACGACGTGGCCCTGCTGCGACTAGAGACGCCACTGATCCTGTCCGCGAGCACTCAGCCCATTGCTCTGCCCACCGAGGATACGCCAGCGGATGTGGACGTCATCATTTCCGGCTGGGGAAGGATCAAGCACCAGGGAGATCTGCCGCGTTATCTCCAGTACAACACCCTGAAGTCCATTTCCTTGGATAGGTGCAACCAGCTGATCGGCTGGGGAATCCAGAGCGAGTTGTGTCTCATCCACGAGGCCAACAATGGGGCCTGCAATGGGGACTCTGGTGGTCCGGCCGTGTATAACAACGAACTGGTGGGCGTGGCCGGGTTCGTGTGGTCTGCCTGTGGAACCAGCTATCCAGATGGATATGCCAGGGTGTACTACCACAACGCATGGATCAGGAATAACTCGGATGTGAAATAGTGCTGTCATTGCTGAACTGCGGGAACTTCATTTAGATAACTGCTGGACAATAATTACAATTTAAGATTCGCCGAATTATATAATCTTTTTTTTTTTTTTAATAGCTTGCATCTTTCATGCTAGCTATAAGTCTTAGCAAAAGTTAAAAATTAACTTAAATACTGTGAAATACATATCAAATATTCATACCCATTAAAACTGTTAATCTTCAATATGAGTGGAATGGACGCAATAGAAAATTGTTTTGTGGGATGAGATACTCTTAAAATGTTGAATGAAAAGACGGGTAATTCCCAAAAATGCTGCTTATACTGCTTCAGACTACTTCGTAGTGATACAGATAATGATGCTATGAACTTTTTGCTTACTTTATTTTAGAAAAAGCACCAACTTGTGCACATGAACCACTTTTCGAGAATTCTCCAACATACGCAAGTGAACAGTGCGTGAAAAAGTGTGTCGCAGCTCGGGCAATTCTGTATAATTTAGATGTCGGCGCCGTCCGGAAAAAAAAAAAATTATGTGAAAAATAATCTTTTCCATTGCTGTTGGCGACTTTAGCACTTTTTATGATCGTTAATCGTAGAGTAAAAGGGTATACCAGATTCGTTGAAAAGGATGTAACACGTAAAAAGAATAGTTTCCATGTCCGTCTGTCCGTCCGTATGAACGCCTCAATCTCAGGAACTTGAAAATCTAGAAACATGCCTTGTTTCTGTAGTACTTTTGAATTATTATTTAATTTTGTTTTCATGTTATTATTTTTCTTGCCAATTTCTATCGGTAGGCTAAAAAAATGTAGAAATTTCTCGTTCGCATTCCCATTAGATGAGTAAGGGGTATCTGATAGTCGAGGAACTTGACTATTGCGTTCTCTTGCTTTTGATTAAATTCGTATTTAATCAATATTAGCAGAGTAAGAAGTCATGTTGATAGCTTTTTCTAATCATCTTGCATCCCTTTTAGCTAATACCAAATAAATGCACGAGTTTTGGGTGTGCGAAACGTCATACTTGTAGCATAAGTGTAGTACATGAACAAAATATTGTAGCAAATATTGAATGTTTGTTTTGTGATTATTGTGACATTCGTGCAAAAATTAAATGGATGGGGACCAAACATTACGAAAAAATGCATAAACATTTCGTTGCATCAAGAATTCTGAGATATAGAACCTCAAAGTAAAAAAAAAAACGTGTTTTAAATAAATTTTCTATCTGAAAATTCTAAAATTACTATCTGCCATCTGCAAAAATGGTCAAATGTTTCTATAGAAATTAGTCAGTTGATGTTAAAGAAATATTCTTATATTCCAGTTTATATTTATATTATAAAGCGCGAAGCTTTGCCTATACATCGCTTTTATTCTTTTTTAGTCGGCAATCTTAATTCTTTGATTAAAGAAACTCCGAATAAGTTGGGGAGAGAGGTGATCCAATTGGATCTATACAAGATCGGACATCTGCGGCTATATTTGGACGATAAGTTTGATGGGTTTTCAAAAATGGTCGAAGAAAAAAACTTCTTCAGATTTGACCACAAGAAAGCCAATAAGCCATAAAACAATTACCAATGACATACCTTTCAATCGCCACTATTTTTCGATTAGATTTATGCACATTAAAGTAGCTATAAAACACATTTCACGCGATAAGATATGGATAAGATAAGAAAGCTAAACCACCGAATGCAACATATAGAGACTTCGCCAAGTTGGCATTGCCCATTTGAAAAAATGACAACCGGTAAAGTCACGATTTTGTTCTGCAGCTTCCTGCTGTTCCTGGTGCTCCCCGTACAGTCGGCACCTGGTAAACTAAACGGCCGAGTGGTGGGCGGTGAGGATGCGGTGAAAAATCAGTTTCCCACCAGGGTCCCTGCGCAACGGTGGCTCCCACACCTGTGGAGGCTCGATTCTGTCCAGGAACTACATCTTAACCGCCTCCCATTGTGTGTCCAACGAGGACGCGAATCATGTGATTACGCCGATTGCGGCCGAGCGTTTCACCATTCGAGCGGGCTCCAACGACCGATTCAGCGGTGGAGTAATTATCCAGGTGGCCGAGGTGATTGTCCACGAGGAGTACGGCAACTTCCTAAACGACGTGCGCTGCTGCGACTAGAAACCCCACTGATCCTGTCCACGAGCATTCAACCCATTGCTCGGCCCACCGAGGACACGCCAGCGGATGTGGACGTCATCATTTCAGGCTGGGGAAGGATCAAGCACCAGGGAGATCTGCCGCGTTATCTCCAGTACAACACCCTGAAGTCGATAACGACGGAGCAGTGCGAGGAGCTGATCGAGTTTGGATTCGAGGGCGAGCTGTGCCTGATCCACCCGGTGGACAATGGTGCTTGCAATGGCGACTTCCGGTGGCCCGGCCGTATATAACAACGAAGTGGTGGGCGTGGCCGGATTCGTCGTGGGCAGGTGTGGGACCAGCAATCCGGACGGATATGCCAGGGTGTTCTTACTTCAAGGACTGGATCAAAAAGCACTCTGATGTCTAAGAATATCAAAACAGAAATGCTTGTGTTAATTAAAACTAGGACATAACAAGTTTTTTTTTTTTGAGTTTGAGTTAAATATGAAACTTTATAAATAAAAATGTTTTATGTATTATTGTTAATTATGGCAAAGCGGAAACCTAAAAAGTAGGTGTATTACTTGGTATTTCATGAAATTAAAATTCGATTAAATTCAATGCTCTATACTCACTGTCTGCACTAGAGAAATAAGCAAAAGCTCGGGAAAATCACTGGTTTAAGTGTTTTGATCTGGACAATAAATTAATGTTTTGGTTGCTCAATCATGATGAATACCAGGGTTGTGAATCCATAAATCATTGGCACGGTTCGGGGCTCGAACCTTAGCGGATGATAAGGTTCGACGTGCTCGACAAGGTTCCGGCCTCGACCCAGGGTGAAAAATTGGTATATCCATATTTATATATTTTTTAAATATTTTTAAGTAATTGTTATACCCTTGCAGAGGATATTTTGATTTTAGTCGGAAGCTTGCAACGCTGTAAAGCAGGCATTAGTGACCATATAATTTGTATGCGTTCAGAATGAATTTCGGTTCATAAATTTATAATTCTAACAGAAATAGAAATCTTTTTTACTGCTAAATACCCAAAGTTGCAATCCCTATAAGGATTCCTAGTGCTTCGCCTTTAAAGTGTTGGCTTCTCTCAGCTGGCGCCCCATTTGTGTGTTGCACATTTTTTGCATATTTGTCAAGCAATTTTACTCTAAATTTGCCAATTATGCGTATTTTTGAGCGTGACCCGAATGGCCACCAATATCCACCGAAAAAACCCCATACCCATACGGAAATTGTACTCGTGTGTGTATTGGGAATATGGCCCTTTATCGCTTTGGCTACATTGTCTCCTGGCCATTGTTTTGGCACGAGGGTCGCTACAAAATATTAGATGCCGTCTAACTCATAATCCATATGGAGTACAACTTTGAAGCAGTTGGCAAGGAATGTATCTCATGAACTATTTTACTGAATGTGTTACTTACTTTTTGAGATGTACTTTCTTACCAAAAGCGCTCTCTAATTCATGATGAAATGGGGTTTCAGACATTTAATTGGCAACATTTTGGTCCATGGCTGGTGTTCTGTGCTTTGAAATCTTGAGAAATTTAAATACCAACTATTTTGGCCGCCCTCGCTTAACTTTGGTGTCCCTTTTTCTCACTTATGGCCCCATGTTGTTGCTGCGATCTCGCGCATTTTGCAACTTATATTGGCATAATTTATACTTTAGCAGCATTTTTATCGCTGCGCTGTGCGCGATACACCAAATACAAAATCAAATAAACAATGGGCCGCTGCACAGGCACAATAGCAATAACAATATGCCCCTCTACCCGCCGAAAAAAGAAGGACGAAACATGTCTATACTATATGTGTATTCCTGCCCTTAACCCTCTTGAACCTTAACCCTTTCTGCTGCAGTTTTCGTGCAGTGTTCTGTGCGTCACTTTGGGCGCTTTATTTATTTACAATTTCTGCGTGAGCCCCGTTCGATTCTGGTTTTTTCGTTTATTTATTGATTTACAATTTATACATGCTCGGTCTCACATGCAGTCACACAGTACGTATGCGTTATACTCGTATTTGCCATCGAGTGTGTGTTGTCATCATCGCAGTCATCATCGGCATCTTTATTGGCTTTGGTTGCGAAACCGCCGGAGTCCTTCGAGCTGCCCTCTCCCCCCGGCCCTATGTCAATGCCATCAATCATTGGTGGCAGCAGCATTTTTATGTAAATAATTAAAATAGAAAATAATCGTAAAATAAAAGGGCCGAGTGTAATTCTTTTTTGACGCAGTCCACTGAGGAAGATGACTGCAGCGCAGCAGTTTGTGGCGATAAAAATGCTGCCATTTCCCATGAACCTTGTCGCGTGTCGCTCTCATAATTTCCCCCTCCCCTTCAATTATCGCAAATGAAAAGCCACAGCAGGTGGAAATGAAGTGGAAATATTTGAGTCCATAAATATGGCGAAAGCAACGAGGGCGACTTGTTTGCAAGCCATCAGCCTATTTGGCTCCCAATTAAGGTGATATTAAAAAGAATATCGCACGGCACTTGTGGCGGAAATGGCTCTATGACTTCGATTCGATAGTTTTCCACTGCAGTGACCATCAAGTTATTGGCCATCTATCTAACCATCTCGACACATCTCAAACTGACACTCGAAATTTGAATATTGGCTCGCCAGTCGAGAGTTATTAAATTCCACAAAATAAAAGCATTCGATCATTATTTTTCTGTTATCTGCTGCAAATGGAACAACTTCCGAGGCGGAAATTGTAAACAAGAGTGGAACTTCGACTGGCCAACTGGCAAACTGGCCAACTGGCCAACTGGCAAACTCCTTCACGCCCTTTGCTGACAGACACGTTTTGCGATGTGTCATCATTCGGCATCGATGAAATGGAGGGACTCAATTATATTGTCGATGCGACTAGTGCAGGCACATTGGAATTTTAAATGAAAAAGGAGCAACGGGCTCGGCTTTAAATACTGCGCGTGTGTGTGTTTGG